TTTTTTTTGGGTTTAGGGATTTCACAGTTTAGGTTTTTTTAGGTTTAGGGTTTTTAGGGTTTAGGGTTTTTACGGTTTAGGGTTTTTACCGTTTCGGATTTTTGGGGTTTGAGGTTTCTAGGGTTTAGGGTTTTTAGGGTTTAGGGTTTTAGGATTTAGGGTTTTTAGGGGTTAGGGTCTTTAGGGTTTAGGGTTTTCAGGGTTTAGGGTTCTTAGGGTTTAGGCTTTTTTTACGGTTTAGGGTTTTTAGGGTTTAGGGTTTTTAGGGTTTAGGGTTTTTAGGGTTTAGGGTCTGCAGGGTTTAGGGTCTTTAGGGTTTAGGGTTTTTACGGTTTAGAGTTTGTAGGGTTTAGCGTTTTTAGGGTTTAGGGTTTTTAGGGTTTTTGTGGTTTAGGATTTTTAGGGTTTAGGGTTTTTAGGGTTTAGTTTTTTAGGGTTTAGAGTTTTTAGACACGCGCATCAGGGTTTCAGGGTTAAGGGTGTTGGGGTTTAGGGTTTTTAGGGTTTAGGGTTTTTGGATTTAGGGTTTTTAGGATTTAGAATTTTTAGACAGGCGAATCAAGGTTTTAGGGTTTAGGGTTTTTAGGGTTTAGGGTCTGCAGGGTTTAGGGTCTTTAGGGTTTAGGGTTTTTAGGGGTTATGGTTTTTAGGGTTTAGGGTTTTTTGTGGTTTAGGGTTTTCACGGTTTAGGGTTTTTAGGGTTTAGGGTTTTTCACGGTTTAAGGTGTTTACTGTTTAGGATTTTTGGGGTTTGCCCGCGCACCCGAGCCGTGCCAAAACGTCCGGACGCGTAGACCTGCGCGCCCCCACCCGTATACACCTCCGCGCCCCCAACATACGTACACCACGAATTCGGGTTGACGGGAGAGGGGGGGAGAACAGTGGAGTCCCGAAGGGGGGTGGGGAGGGGGAGGGGTGGGGAGGGGGGGGGGGGGGGGTGTTCCAAATACTGCACCTGCTAACAGTTCGGGACCAAAAAGTTACAAGTAAGCAAAAACAAAAGTTACAACTAAGCAAAAACAAAAGTTACAACTAACCCAGCTACCCCTAGCAGCCTGGCGTTCTTTTATTGCGTCCATTGCTTTCAGCTTTGTTTCAGGAGAGTTTGACACGACTTCATGATTTTGAAACATCCGCTACTCTTTGTGAACTTCTCTGTGGTAATCTGCGCTATCTGTTAGAACTGTTCCAAGGTGGTCGAAGCTCTTAGACATGTAGTGTTGAAACTTTCATGCATCTGTGGTCCCGACGTGCGCACGATCGGAACCGGATCAGCCATGCCTGGGCGAGAGCGCTGCAGTCATGATGCTATGCGAGACCTGTACTGGTATATGCCTTGGAGGAACAATTCAACAAAGATGAAAGCCGCTTTTCAGCGTCTATCTTGCGGCACAGATTACATGGCACTAAGCTTCAGAATGCTTCAGTGAGCCAAATGCCGTGAGACCATGGACCGGCACTTCACCAAGCTATTCGGCGCAAATGTATCCCATCAACCATAAGCCCCTAAGAAAAATGCCCAATGCCTGAACCTCGAACCAGTTGCAATCCTACATCCAAATCCCCCGTCCAGGCCTGTGGTTTCGATCATGATCTGATCGAGCTTGGCACCCTTGTCAATTTCGGCCAGGATCTCCCTGCAACAGACAGCGTGCAGTTGACCAAGCAGCCTGCCCACCCCAAATTATGTCCCTCAAAAATCTTACCCCAATGACACTCGTTTTGTGATTTGTGGACTTGCTTTGTTTTTCCCGCCCCCCCAGCTCCCCCCCACCCAGCCCCCCTCCAGCCACTCTTCACACAAAGCAACGGCTTGGCCGCCTTGTCAGCCCGGCTGCCGAGGCGGACACGCGCTAGCGCTCACAATTATCCCAGCCTGAAGCCATCAATGAGGTCTCCGCGGATAGTACAGCACATGCAACCTTGGAGATCTTTGTCTTTGCCATGCTAGACTCTGATTGTTCCGGCGTTTAGTGATGAGGCTACTGCAGAGGATATCGCCTTCATGCCTGTGGCATCCTGTTACTTGGCACTTTGTTTGCCACAGGCTCGGAAAAAATGAAGGTACGCTTCCACGCAATAATTGAAAGCCTGCTATTGTGTAAACAGTCGGCTTGACAGTGAGTTTTCAGCAGAATCCAAAAAAGTGTTGTTTCCGTTTACTTTCAATTGAAGAAACTGATGCCTAGCATGGCAAAGCCCCTCAATGGATTTGGGAGGATCATGTTTTGAAAGTGGGATTGCTCATTGATTGCACAAGAAGGGCTCTCTAGTTACCAGGGGTGCCATATCATGCCAGTTGAAGGAACCACAGGTGGCAATGAGAAACTCTGCAAGGAACATCTCTGGCAGCTTGCCAACGGACGCTGCAAGAAGCGTACCACAAAACGTGGACACTGCGAGGATAGTCACCCACAGCATACTACTGCCGACAGCAAGGCTGCAAACACACGTTGAGCTGACAAAACTAGGCTTGCTGCCGTTGTCCATGACCTAATTGCACTTCTGTTTGATTGATTGATTGATTGATTGATTGATTGCCTTTGGGTCACGCGGACCCTTGCTTTGCAAGGCATCGGCACCAACAGTTGCAGAGCAGCACGGACAACATGTACAAGCACACAGCTACAAAGCAACCCGGATAAGATGCACAAAGACGTACAGCTCCACATCGGGGCACCCCCAGCACTGCACCTACATCTCTGTCTGATTCCGAACACTTACTAGGGGAGGCAGACACCTTGGGACTTTGAAGGCAAGGAATCCAGTGCCAGATGATCTTCAGTCATCAGCTTTGACACAACTGGACATCAGTGGACCATCTCTGCTGTCAAAGCCTCTCTTGGCTGGAATACAAGCTTTTTCCTTCTTGGGGTGAAGTTTCAGGCATGCCAGCAGGGCTAAGAAGTTTTTTTACGTCTCACGGTGATTTTTGAAGGCTTCCAAGCATGACAAAACAATAATAAGATGCCTGGAGAAACGAAGCTCCTGTCTGAGATTCGTACCACAACCTTTTCCGCAAAAGCCAGCTTGTCCTGTCAAGGGGATTAGCACTGGTCTCATCGGAGCAAGGACACGCACCACGAAACTCTACAGAACCAACAAAACAAACTGCAGGAAGCAGCTGTTGGCCGGTGAATGCCCTCCTTACACTTCGACCTTACCATCATCATTGCTGCCATGTTCAGCTTCTGGTCCCAGCTGCCTTCTTCAACAAGTGATCGTCAATAGAGACTTCTCCAAACCTTGGCGATCCAATGCTCAAAAACTTGCAGGATACGTTGCACCACCAAGGCGCAACAGAAAGCCACCTTAAGACACGAGCTCATTTTCGATCACCGCAATCTTCTTTTCTCTCTGCTCCTCACAAACCCACACCATGAGCAGAAGGTCCTGGTCCTACCGAAGGGATTGCTCTAAGTCAAGCATTTTTTCGGCGCAGAAGTAGGTCAGCGACCTTCATTGACCGTGTGCTTCAACACCCTCTTTGAGGGCTAGAAGTCTTAGAGTAATAAAGCAATTCTCTAGCTCACGCTAGCTAGAAGACTGGCAAGAGTCGGCAAAAAGATGTCAACTCGAGCCAAGCTACAGATCTGACTAGTCTTGCACAAGCAGCTATCAAGCTAGAGCCATCCAAAAGCTCTAGCTTTAGGCTTCGAACTTACGCTGACACGGTGACGGCTGACATCGCATCCCATGCGCAGGTGACGTTTCCGTTTGCGGTGAGGTACTTTCCTTCTCCAAAGCAAATGTCAGGCACAGTTGAGGCTGCAAAGAATTCCTCAAAGCTGGGGAGCGCATTGTTCTTCCACAGCGACATCAGCCTCGGAGAGAGCACCACCCAAAGGACTACTAAGCTTTCCTTCACTGTGCACCACCCTGGCCCCCTGCCGGAATTCAAGTGCAAGCACAGTTTATGAGTCTCGTTATGCATTCAGAATCTCTACCCCCAACCGACCCAATCCAAGGCGCATCAGCACGGAGTTCTTGATATGCCGCGTCTGAAATGACGCCTCAGCGTAGCCAGGTTTGACGCCGGCAGCCCCGCACTCCGTGCAGACACCATCCAGGCGACCAGAGTAGGCGTTGTAGATAGGACTCTCCTCGCATATGAGCACATGTGCCGAATGAGCTTCGCAGACTGCAGGGCAGGGCTTGCTTGGCAAGGCGTTTTGAAATGCAGACCAAGGCACAGTGGTGGGGGCATTGGGATCCTCACCAAAGTGGAGATCAACCCATAAGCAACCAAACCGCTCTGAGTATCCCATCTCCCACTCAAAGTTGTCCATGAGCGACCAGGCCATGAAGCCCTTCATGTTCACTCCATCCTGGCAATGGAGGTCATGCAGTGCTGCAGGCAAGCTTAACGTCTTAGAGAGAGCTGTATCCAGCTTTTGAATGGTTTGCTGACCAGTCCTCGTGAATAGCGTTGTACATCTCTAAGATGTAGGTATAATAGTATGTCAAACGGCCCCAGTCTTGCTTGGACTCGAGACTAGTCTGGAAGTCATCGCTCCAACCGGCTTCTGTACCCCAGATTTCCAACTCTTGCCCATAACGATTCTTGATCCAGTTCAACAGTTTCCGGTAGCCCCAGGCAGCACGAAAGAGCCAGGATGACTTGCCTTGTACCAGATTGCCATGAACAACGACATTCTTCCCATCTTCAAACTTGACGAAACTTGTTCCATAGTGGTTCAAGCCGAAGAAATCTGGGCGGTGTTGCTCCAATAGCTCCTTCTCCTCCTGTGTGAAAGTAGGCATGTACGGGAAAGTAGAGCGCATGGAATACGGGTAGTCGAATACCCCATCCACACCATAGATGGGGTCGCAAAACCAGCCAAGTTGCGTCTCGACTTCGTACATAGCGGCAGCCACATCTTGAGGAGATTCTGTCAATGGCTCCCGCCAGTCTTGGTTGTTGGTGATGAAGATCTTGTGCTCCGCTGACAGCACGCCTGACTTCTGGAACTCCCTGAACTTCATGACTGCGCTCAGGTGAGCAAGAATCACATTATGTCCAGCCACATACGGCCAAATGGCCATGTCCATGTAGGGCTGCGCGGAAGGTGCCTTGCCATATCCACTTGCTAGGTAGGTGAAAGTGTAGGCTTCATTGAAGGTTGCCCACAACTTCACCTTGGAGCCGTACTCCTTCAACAAGAACCTGACGACAACTGCGCGTGGGAAACGAGAAAGGCTTAGTGACAAGCGCCAAAGAGAAACTGCTTGTGTGCTGTATAGGCGCTCTGCGTAGTTCGTGAACTCTTTGACAATGTTTGAGCTAAGGCCGCTGGGCTTTGGCTTCCCATCTGCACCCATTGTACACTCGTACCAGCCCTCTTTGCCTCCGCTGCAGGGCTGATTCGGTGTCTCGAAGTCCAAATGCATCAGTCCTGAAAGCACAACTTTGCAGTATTAGGCTGCAAGCAACGACAACAACCAAAGCTAGAAGCCGTCCTTGCGGAAGATCCCAGTGGTACATAGTAATGATTGGCGTGACACCAGCAGCAATCAGCTCGTCAATCAAATTGTGATAGAATTGGACACCCTCTTGGTTCACTCCATCTGCGAAAGTACCAGTTGGCACAATTCGAGGCCATGCAACCGAGAACCGATACCACTTCAGGCCCATGGACTTCATGGCTCTCACATCGTTCTTGTACATGTGGTAATGGTTGTTGGCAACGTTTCCAGTGGCGCCCTTAACGGCGATGACAGAGTTGACTGGGCAAGGAGCCTTTTTGCACACAGCACCCGGCATTCCCACAGTGTTGGCACCAGTGAAGGTATCCCAAATGGAGGCTCCGCGGCCGCCTTCGTTGTAGGCCCCCTCGATCTGATAGGCTGCGGTCCCGAGGCCCCAAGCAAAGCCTTCAGGAAAGTCCGGGATTGGCACCCACGGATAGGACTCGGGATACCTTACAGCGAGTAAGTGACAAATTGGACGCGGATCGCTCATTGCAGGACAGGGAGAGATACCAATTACTCCAAGCAGCTCCCCGGTCCTGTATGGTAGTGGCCATGGTGGGCACGTTTTGAAACCACGACACTCAACATCTGATCCGGTCTGGTTATGCTTCAGCTGCATGAGCTGCACGTCATCGGCCTTGCTGCAGCACGCACCATGTCTGCAGCCATCCCTACAGCATGGTACGTTATGCGTCGGAAGTCGCCTGACAATCCTCGCTGCTGGCAAGGACCATTGCGCCAAGAAAAGCACCTTGCCAAGGCAAAGTTTTGCTCACAGACAGTTCTACACAAATGCTATCTGCAAGTGGGCATATCTCCACGGTAACAGAAATCCTAAACAGATGGATTCTAGATGCTTGTCCTGACGCACAAGTTGGCTCTGCCAGCACAACCTATGGTATTGGTCTGCCAGCCTGTCAAGTTTGACCCGACTAACTTCACTTCGCAGGCATTGGAAATTCAAGGATTCTTTGCCATGCGTGGCATTCTGCTTACCCTGCCAGCGCTGCTCACGCCATACATTTTATCTACCCAAAAGCTTCGCTGGAGCCAGCTGCCCTCGGCATCATGCAGCACATTGAGAATCCACTCTCCAAGCCAAGCCACATAATCGAGAAGCTGCGCGAGCCCGGGCCATGACAGCAGTGCCAAGTTAAGACCTTCCAGATGGTGATGTCACGTGAGCCGAAAACTGCCCAAAAAAACCTCCAAGAGCACTCCATCACCGGCATTGTGACAAGTTAACTACGCTGCACCTCTCCTGCAAGATGTAGTTCAAGAGTGTTGTCTTTCCAGCCCCCAAAAAACCAGTCAGGATGGTGACCTTACAGGCAGGGAAGGACAGGTACAGCTTAGGCGAGCAGTAGCCCGAATGGCCCGAGATTGGAACCGGCAACTTCTTCTCATCGGGAATCTTTGGGTAGCTCCTCGCTTGCAAAGGCTTGCCAACTTTCTTAAGGACCCCCTTTTCGACATTCCGAGGATACGGCTTCGGAGTGTTTACGATATCACCATGAATGCCAAAGCTGTCCCTGACGGCTCATACAAGTCCACAAGCAAATGCACAGCGAGTGCAGCATGATTGATGCTCAGTTTCAAGCCCATCTGCGAAGTGGGGTCCTACCTTGTCTCCGGGATTCAGGGCCTGTTCAGCGGCAAGCTCATCTTGCCCACTCGAAAAGATGTCTGAGCAGCCTTCTTGTTGTTCTTGGTATTCCACAGCACCTGCGCTCAGCAAGAGATTCCACGCGAAACTCCCAAAATGAAATACATGCCTGAATCTGGAACTGGACTGGTTCATCAGACTTTTCACAAACCTCTTCAACGAAGGCCTGCGCACAGCGTGTCCAGAAACCTTCATGCGACTCGGGGACTAAAGGGATTCTAAGCCCACGCCTCGACCTTTTCCATTAGCTCCATGATGAGAACCTCCGCGCCTATCTTGAAGGGATAGTCCTGGCAGCAGAAGCCCTGACCTCTTCCACCTGTGCACCATGAACGCTAGAAATGAAAGATGGCTCTGCCTTCATGTCCACTTTAGCCAGGCAAGCCGGCAGCTTCATGCCCGGGTGGAACCAACATGTCAGCGACTTAGCGGGCCAGGCACGAGCTTCGCACATTCAACTTACTGAAACACGTTTCCAGGGCCAAAGCCAATTCGGTCATGCGCCTCGGCTCAAATTACTGCATCACCCTGTGCAAGGAAAAATCCATGGGCCCGCAGCCAAACACTCAGGGTGCCAGCTCTACCCTTTTGGGAGGCCGAGCCACTAAATGCCAATCTCACTGACCGCTCAGAGGTTGAAGCAAGCGCTGCGCTTCAAGCATGTGATGAAGCAGGTGGAGCACCTATGCTTAACATGTTCAAACATATTTCTGATCAAGCGATGCTGGGGGAATTTGCCCCAAAAACATTTTTGAATCAAGCGATGCTGGGGGAATTTGCCCCAGAACAATGCAAGCTTTGAATCTACACTCAGAACCCGATTGGATCTGAAGACTAGCTCCCCTCCGTGGAGGCATGTTCTTTTCAGATCATATGGTCCCCATATAGGGTCAATCCCGGACTAGGAAGCTTGCGAATCTTGCGAGGGAAAACTGGCGCTCAGCTTTGGATGGCCTCTTGCACAAAAAGCACAATGGAAGGTGCCTTGAGCTCATCAAGAACTGATAAAAGAAAGCTTTTTTTCCACCCGATGTTCACTGCTGATTGATCATTACGGAAGAGTGTCTGCAGAAGGCTTCGTCTACGGAGCTCATGGATCCGGTCTGCTATTTGTTCAGCGAAAAGCACGTTATCTTCCCTACTCTTAATGGATGTCCTTCTTTTTCAGAATAACCCTCAGGGTTGACTTATTGGTTAGGAAGGAAAATCAGATATATCGGGATAATATAAGGACTATGTGACTATGTAGGAATTTTATTCCCTGATTCCCTACTATAAAGCAGTGGGCAAAACTTGTCAAGTCCAGGCCTATCTAGCTGAGCAGCACAAGCTGCACAAAGCCTCAGGAGACTTACCACACTTTGTATTCATCAGTCACAACATACCAGTCAAGGTCCCCACTTTCCACAGGTTGTTCCCTGACACACGGGTTTCGAGTATGATGACGTGCGCTGATGGTGCACTGCGATGCAAAGCTCCGCTCTTGTGACTTGGAAGCTGCTGATGGCCTGGGGCGCTCTTGGGCAATACCTGCGACGGAAAGAAAATCAATGCGCCGCTACTGTTGTTGCCTACAGATAGTGGGACTTTTAGCTATCATCATTCTCCCCTTGTGTAAGGTCTTGCTGATGGCTCCCTGCGTTATACACTTCCGATACAGGCGAATCAGGGATCATAACAGCGCAGTTGCCTGAGACTCCTTGCTGAGTCCTGTTCACATTCAAGGTTATTCAAATGACTCACATGGCTGTCCTCACTCAGCAGAGGCCGCATCGTACATCATACTAAGGACCATAACACCATGTGTGACGACAACAAAGCACGTCACAGCGTTGTTGAAAAGAATGATAACAAGAAGACTGCAGCAAATGCCGATCACATTGATCCAAGTGGCAACGGGCGCCTATAGCCCACGGAACATGTGCCTTGAACCCCGTCCGCGCCTTGTAAAACACCTACATCGTGTCAACGGCGCGCTCTGAAAACTTCGGCAAGGTCATGTCACGGAGTCGGCCTAGCAATCTTGATTTACGTATGGCTGGCTACACGATGCTACAGGTCTAGGACATACGGTAACGAATTCGGAAAGCAACATTTGGGGCTGCGGTTTGTGGCTGCGTGTAGCACGAACCATATATATCATTTTTTCCCCCAACATTCCTGTGCAGCTCTAGTTGTTTGATGCGCTGTCGCCCGCCATGCCTGCGTGCTCTTCCGTCGCGCAAACATGCTTGCGGCGCCTGCCAAGGCTGAGGGCCAAGCACGCAACAAACAATTGAAGGCAACTGTCTTGAGATGTACACTCCAGCCCTATCTTCGTTGAACTATCGTATAACTCCCCACAAAATCTTCACTATCTCTGACATCATCCTGACCAAGGCCAAGATCTGTCCTGAATCTTGTTGCGACAACAAATCCTGGCACTGAACTTCGGAGGATGCTTTCTAAAAAGTTCCCACAAGCAAGCAGGCGTGTTTATTTTGGTGCAAACAACACGGGGCAGCACTGAAGCAGCGAACTGGCTAAATGACCCTCGCGCGTACAAACGGATCATTGAGTGATGACGTAAGGTCATCTGTTTGCGCAAAGATTGCTACTATGTGTTGCATGTTCACTCCTTTTTTCATTCATCTAAAATCTGGCTGAAGGTTCGAACCTTACCGACGGAAGCTTGATGCCAGCAGCCCCAACCAAGTGGCTGGAGGTGTGCTGTGCGGGGTTCTGATTGCCGCCATTAGGTTCCTGGGATTTTTTCCGAACACATCATTTCGAGGGTAATGAAGCGGCGTGATTTTAAGGGAAAGCAAAAGCCAGCCGACTCTAGTTGCGCAGGAACACCGATTATTGAAAAGTAGCTAGACGCCAAAAAAATGTTATGTTCTGAAACCCTGAACCTGAACTCCGCGATCAGCTTAAAAACGTCACCAATATACTCTGCAATCGAGAAACCTAAGTAGGGTAATGGCAAGCACCCCAGCCTTGGAGATGGCGGCTCGCCTTCTCCCCATCTTGGTCTACGTGGACCTCCCTATCTTGGTCTACGTGGAGGCGGAGACTAAGTCTTTCCTGCGTGTGAAGTGGGCACTGCTCAGTAGGGTTCAGCTCATATCCAGGCTTAGGGTCTAGGTAAAGTTTAGGGTCTTTCCCTGGTGTCCTCAAAATAAAATGCTGCTTAAGCTCTGCTGGGCTCCCTCTTTATCAGAGGTGCTACAAAAGTCTGATTTTAGTTGGGGATTGTAGAGCAAGCAATCAGAAGATCGTAAGGTCCTAAGAGGACCCCCACATTGAAAGGACGAAGGGACCGAATCATCCTTTAAATGCCTTAGCCGGAAACGTTGGCAGCATTTACAACTGAATGGGCCAACGGCAGCCAGAGAAACTTATGGAAAGTGCGTTGAACAATCAACAAAAGCCAACGTCACCCTGCGGATGTACATGCCGCTGTCAATCTCAACTTGCACAAGGTCATGCACATGTATATATATATATACCAGAATTGAACGAGTATGCGACAGCAAGTGCATGTGCATGTCAGAACCTAGAAAGAGTCTGACATTAACCTTCAGCAGCAAAGGCTCAAGCTCAATATTTAAACCGATGGACCATGTCGGCGGACATGCACTGAAAGAGGATGGCGGCAGGCAGCGCGCAAGCACATCTGTGAGCCCCTGAACGTGCACACTCCGCCGGCAAAGCTAGTTGCGTGCTGCCTGATTCATGTTGCAGTGTTCCCATACCCAAATCAACAATGCGTTGAGTGACCAAATCCCCTGCGGCCTGCCACGTCGCACATGTATAGCTCTTCACTGTGACATTCGCCGCAAACAGAACTCCTGCATGGGGGAGCTTTGGTCACTGACAAGGTCGGCTGCCGCAATTTTCACAAATTTTATTGCCGTTTTCACCTTTAACCACGTTGCTTAAACTGTTCTCAAACGGGGCGAATGGCTTTTCAATGGATGTGGTCTTCGAGTGGGACGGCGTGATGGGGGTGTCGTCGTACTAGTAATACGAGCATTGTGTGATGACGGCGATGCATGGATGGATGGATGGATGGATGGAGGGAGGGAGGGAGGGAGGGAGAGATGGAGAGATGGAGAGATGGAGGGATGGAGGGATGGATGGAGCCGCGGATGTGATGGAAGGTTGTTGTGAAGTATGGAATGTATTGGATGGCAGAGGTATTGTATAATAGCACGGCATGACGTTGGTCTGATGGCAGGTTGTACGGATGCATGTTTCAATGGTGTTCTGGGCTTCTGGATGGTTGTCGTGGCGTGTCGGTTCTGGTTTTTTAGACATGAGGCGGGGCTGGAGAGAGTTCCCGCAGCTCACCAAAATCGCCCGGCCCGTGGAGCGTCCTCGGAATTTCGCGCGGGGTCGACGACCCTCTCTGCGGGGCGCGGCGCGACGGAGCGCAGAGCGCTATAACGCGCGGAGCATCCTCAGAACTTCGAGCGGAATCAATGCCCCTCTCAGTGCTTGCGGCACGTCGGAGCATCCTCGGCATCGCTGGCAACTGGCGCGTCCTCGGAATTCTGCGCGCAAGTTACGAATGCTTCAGGAACGCGGATAGGAAGAGAGGGCGCCAGCGCAGAGAGCCAGAAAATAGGCGCAACAGGCACAAACGGATAGGAAGAGAGGGCACCAGACCAGAGTGTCAGCGATGCGCCACAAACACATTGGACGAAGATACAGAAGGCGCGCACTGCCTATTCTCCGGCATTCTCTCGCCCTCGGGCTGGCGCCCTCTCTTCCTATCCGCTTGTGCTTGTTGCGCCTATTTTCTGGCTCTCTGCGCTGGCGCCTATCTTCCTATCCGTTTGTGCTTGTTGCGCCTATTTTCTGGCTCTCTGCGCTGGCGCCCTCTCTTCTGGCTCTCTGCGCTGGTGCCCTCTCTTCCTATCCGTGCTTGTTGCTGGACTAAACCACAACCCGCGAAGAAGCAGCATACCGAGGAACTGGCAATCGCGCAAGACGGGGACAGTGCCAATGGCGTGTGAGGGAGAGCCCCGAGCCCAAGATGAAGCCACAACCCAACGCCGACCATCAGGAAAGCAGAACTGGGCCAACAGGGCACAAGAGCGAGTCCTGAACCCAGGACGAAACGGCACCCCCACTCCAAGCAGAAGAAATGCAGGAAGCGGACGGAGCCAATAGCGCACCGCTGCGCGCCCCAAACCCAGCCAGGATGAATCAACGCCACAACCTCAAGAAACAGCAGGGATGCATGGAAGCGGACGGGGCCAACAGCGCACAAGGCGCGCCCAATACCCAGCATGAAGCAACACCAAAACGCTGAGAAGCCAGCAGGAATGCAGAGAAGCAGCGAGCCCCAAGCCCATGAAGAGGCAGGACCAAAACGGAAGAAACAAGCTGGAATGCAGGAAGCCGGCAGGGCCACCAGTGCGCGAAGCCACCAAACGATACTAAAAGAACAAAGACAAGGTACCGTCGCTCAAGCGGTCAATAGGGGCAGGGTGGGGTGTCCTCGTCGTAGTAGACACAATACCCCTTGGTACCGCCCCCGGTGTCCACACCCGCCTTGGAGAAGCCCTCTGCCAAGAAAGACGGCAAGAACCGTACTATTTCTACCATTATTAACGCCTTTCTGCGCCAACCCCCATGACGAGGCGGCACCGGCATTGATGATAACTGCTAGGCCCACGAAGACCGGGATCACCCCGTTTCTGAAAGGATGCGGAGCTCAGGTGCTGCTCCAAGTTCTCATTAGCTGCGGGTCATCATGATCTTGTGAAACGGTGCAGAGCCTGCGTGACCTGGTTGTCACTGCCACTTTGAGTCCTTCCGGCTTTTGAAATAACTCTTGCATCCAAAGGCATTGAACCGCATGGAAGTAGGGAGGAGCTGGTGGCACTGAAACAAGCATTCTTTGGCAGGCTTGCCTATTGAATCATGTGATTATGCTAGCCATTTCAACGGGCACACGCCCGTTGAAAAGCATGCTATGGTACGTTGCTGGGTGACGCAGACTGAAGTCACCCTGGTACTGAAGGTGCCGCATCATCTACTGCAGTGATGATTAAGACTTGGACGTTGTCACCCAGAGTGCAAGCGTGGTGCGCACCACACTGTCTCGCTTCAGGTCTCGCCGGAGGAAGTTTGGCTGGACAAGTCCTGGAGATCACATTCAGTCATGTTTAGAGTGACAGCCCGATGTCCTCCAAAGGGGTTTCAGACCTAAGCACAGCTTCTGCAAATTGGCACACCATGTGCCCATTGCGATTGCCACACTTTGTGCTTCAGTCAAGCATCACCGTCTGCACAAAAGATCTTTGCCTAGTGCATTTTGGAGCCTGCTCATCTGTGCATACTTCTTTCCTTCGCGCTCATCTTGCTGTGCCCTTCTACAAATTGCGTGAGGGAAGCTACGTCCGCAGTTTATGTCTTCTCAACACAATTGATTGCAGCCACATGTCTCCCTAGTGCATATTCTGCTCTGAGACCGCTGCGACGCGGTGCCCAGACTCAGTGCTGCACGAACCTCACTGGAGGCACGGGGCTATAGAGGGATTATTTTTGGAGGTAATGGAAAAAAAACTTGCAAGTAACATTTAGGGGTTTTCATCGTGCCCATCTAGGTTTAGGGTTTAAGCACATCTGCCTACGTTGCAACGCCAAGCTGCGGGAGCTGGTGCTGCAGCGCCATGTGCCTTAGTTGGACGGCTAGAGGCCACAAGCCTGCCTTAGCTAGTAGGGAAGAAAGGACTATGATCCCGATGTAATATAAAGTATTTCCATATTCTCTACTGACCGTAAACACTAAATAGTAGTTTCCATTGTCTTTTCCATTATCCTTATATAATGTATTCCCTTATTCCCTACCAACACCCACTAAGCTAAACCACAAGGCAAGGACAGGCCTGTTGCAAGAAGGCAGCGCTCTGCGTGATGTAGGTCTGCATGGCCCCGTTCTCTTGTCGCATCCGATGAAGCCTGTGTTGAACATAAAGCATCAACTGAGCAAAAGTCTAAACTCCTAGCATCCCCCTTAATATGCTCTATAGCAGGACTGGACAACCTGACCGCGATTCTGATGCGGGTTGTTCTCAAACAGGCTTTTCTGGTTATAGACGACTATATTACGGCACCTAATCTTCAGGGGCACCAGAATGGGACCCTAATTTGGGGAACTACTCATGTGTTGACTTTCTGTGAGCCATGGGATCACCGAAAAGCACATGACTTTCTCAGTCCTTCCAATGAGTTAAAATGTTAAAAGGTTGACAATGAATGGCAGCGCCAAATGCGAAAAGTAAGTTCTCTGAAGCGGAACTTTAAAAGCCACGTAAGCACAATGGGCATAGAAGTCCCCAATACCTCTTCCAAAACCCAGCTTTGTGTTGTGCACAGATTGTGCACAGACCGCTCCTCTGTGCCAGAGTTGCCAGCATGAAACGTTTCGAGGGCCAGGCCAGGGGGATTTCCAATGCTCAAACCTTGTGCTTAGGTTCCACGTGGTGCCTGAAGGGGATTGAGAACTGAACTACGTATGCCTCATGAAGTCACTCCCTTCTTGCACACACTTTGCATCAGTGCTCTGTTCTAATTCGCAGTAGAACAAGTGAAATGCAAACTGATAATCTTTTGCAAAGACTACGTGTTGTTCAAGATTGCGGTCCATGGAACCCGCAAGAACACAAAAGCACATGATTGGCTGAAGGTATGTGATGGATTCTGCATCTTGGTATCCGTTGAACTGAGGACGACACCGTCTGCACAAACTTACTGAGCACCCGGCTGCGAACGCACTTCAAAGCCATAGCCTTCCAACATACGCGATTGAGGCCAGTTTTCACACACAACAACGGAATTTACGCATGTACGCACCATCATGGGGCTTTGACTGGAAACCATCTCCACCCCATGTCTTTTCTGCAGATGAATACTTTCAACAGATTGGGCCAATGTACCAGAATCCTTGTTCTGAGGAACCTTTTAGAATTTTTGAAATTCCCATATGGACCCTGCAGTTTCAGAGCTCGGGTTCTGTGCCTCCTGCCAACTTCCCACCTGCCCTGCACGGCGTTGCCTCGGGCTGCTCAGCTGCACCTACTTTCCCTTGCGAAGGGTTTCCCATTACCGCAGGCTGGGCTTCTATCACAAGGACTGAATTGTGTGGGGGTTAGTTAGCGATTGTCTACCCTTGAGAGTTGTCTGATGGCTGTAACGCGGGGGGTGTTGCTCGTCAGGTTGCCCCGTCACTGCACGATGTTGACTTGGGACGACACAACTTGAAACTGAAAGCGTCGCTCTTTCAAGTCCCCCTGACTTTACAAGCTAGTGAGCAGACGTGATCCGTCCATCATCTTTTGTGTACAAGTTTTGACGGATGCTGAGGGGAATAAAGGATCTACAAATCCGATTTGGGTCAAAAATCAGAGCAGAGGATCGAACAAATTCAAACTAAGATCAACCAGTCAAAATGGATGAATGCGAGGACGCTGCTCTATGCAAAACTCGATTTTCCGAAAACCCTAACAGTTTGCCAGAGGGCGCAACTGCAAAAAGAATGTGGGCAAGGACTTCAAGCAGTACACGGCCCGCTCCACAAGACGATGGCCGCTTGCAGACAAAGCCGTCTTCAAAGTGCTGAATATCCCCGCTCTCGCTTGGGCTCATGAGCGGCCGGCGCGCCTTGGCTGTCGGGGTTGTCTTGGACCGCGCACACGCGCTTGTGACATGCGCCCTATCAGCCACTCCATCGGCACGAATCGAAACAGCTTTTTGGGCGAAACCCTCGCCGAAATTGAACTCGGCACGATACTGGCATGTCACCTGCGAAGTCTATGCCTGCAAAGTGGCTTGCGCCGCGCCTGGAAGAATAATTGTATTGGGCCTGGCTCCCCTAGTTGGCGAGAGCAGAAGCCAAACGGATCAAAAAGTTGTGAGGAGAGCCCAGTCTGCTTCCGCATGGCATAAACTGCCATCGCCAACGCGCTGCTTGTTAGAGATGCGCTCCAAAGTCGCCCGCACCAACATAGAGTTGCACAGAACAGTGACAACGGCCCCCGGATCATGGCAGGCATCGACCACCTTGAGCTGCCCGAGCCGAATGGCCGTGAGACAACTTGCGCGCGTGCCTTTGTGCACCCGACGGCTCTCACGGGCAGTGTTTTTGGTGCTGCTGCAGGATCTTCACCAGATCTTGCGTGGTGAAACGGCGATGGGCTTCCATGGTCTTTTGAAGACATCTACTGTTGTGGCCACTAGATGTGTCCAGTTCTTGGTGGCCTGAAAATCGCCATGCTTCTCAAGCGGCGCATACACGCAGCAAACCGGACGCTCCCGAGCGGCCTCTCCAGCTGTGGGCTCGGCCGCATGCTCATAAATGGAATACCCACGCAAACCTCGCTTCACAGTACCGTCCGCACAATAATTGCACAAAGGAAGGATGCTGTAGCCTTTCTCGCGGATGTAAAATTGGTGCCAAATGCTGATGACACGGGGCTGGACTTTCTCATGTTGAAAGAAAATTTCCTTGCCGTTACAGGGTACCTCGATCGGCATATTTGAAGGCACGGAACAAACGTTGCCTGAACGCTGTCCCGGTTCTGGGCGGGTCGGGCGTGAGCCGTGGTGTCTGCCTTTCCCCGTGACCGCGAACCATGTGCAGAGATGTGTATCCCAGCACAACCGGGAGCCTGGAAGCTTGCGCAATTGAGATGTCCGGCCTCCACGTGACTTGGTGCTTTCAAAGGAGCGGGCATACACTTCCTCCAGGGTGTGCTCGCGAATGTATTCGCTGTGCACGGGCATGCGTAGCAACCCCTGCGTCGGTTCGAGCATGAAGCGCCCTGGGGCTTGGAACGGAATCGGTCGTGGGAGCTGCAACAACTTCAGTATTAGTTGCTGGGCTGGGTTGGGCTCGGGGACTTGCGACATCAGAACAGAAAGGGGCAACATGCGCGCAGCCACGCGACTGCGGTCAGCTGGCCGTCCCACGAAAATCTTAGTCCGGCCAAGTGATCAGGCACTTCTTCAGCGCACAATCGATGGTGAGAGCCCGGCCCGTCCAGTCGGCAGCAAGAGCAAGGCAACTGCAAAGTGAATGGCAGAGACCCAGTGGCCAAGCACTGGATCGCCAAGAGGCCTTAACGGACCTTCCATTGGTGGCCTCGGCTGGCCAAGGAAACTTGCAGGCTCAGGCGAAGCAAAGCCGAGGTCAATGGGTTACTGCTTTCAGCGTTACTGCAGGTGGGTAGGTGATGTCGGCGCTCGGAGGAGCAAGCACAATCCAAAGCTGCATCAAGGTCTTCAGGGTGGAGAGCCGCTGCCGATCGAGCAATTCCCGCACTTGGAAAGTCTCGAGGAGATGGGCCATGCGAAAGTGTGCAGGCGATGGAGTATGCTTTCCAGTTGTCCGTGGTGCCTTAGGATTTTCTCTTGGACTTCTGCTAAGCAGAGTACTTTGAATTTGTTGGTCCAAAATTGGTTATGTGTTGATCTGACTTCGATTTTGTTTGATCCAAATTGGATTGTTTGATCCATATCCCCTTGAACCGGGGGCCGCTAACTTGAAGATAGTAGAAACCTTTGACAGCGCCTGTACTGCTGCACTGGGTAAGGACAGCACCAAAGGTCTCTTTTGGGAAAGAGGTCCTCCACCCGCCTGGCAGTTTGTTCCCAGCAGACTAGCTACCCGAAAGTTAGACTTGCCAAGCTTCAAGCCTTTAGATCCTATTTACAGTATGTAACCATATGTTGCCGGTTTGGCACGGCCAAGGGCAAGAGGGCAAGAAAATGCGTGAGATGTTACGGAGCCACGATTAAAGAGACACATGTCAAGGCACCTTCAGCCCCTCTGCGGCTTCACCTTGGTCTCGGTGGCCGTGGGCGCTTGATGCCGGGATGGCTTCGACTGAGGTTTTGACGCCGGCCAGCATGCGGCGGATCGGAGAGCGCCTGAACCCATACGACTTGCGAAGTTCAAGACCCCTCAACAATCAGCGTCAGCAGAACCCCTACGTCTAATCGTTTGTCCTCGGCTGGGACGGCCAGCGACCTTTGGCAGCGCTAGAAGTAACTCCCATGCTGAATCGGCGCACATATCCCAGGAGCCTCGAGGCTGCCTAAGGCTGGAGCTTATCAGGCAACGCGCCTGGAGCCGAAAAATGCGCCTGGCCAGGGCAGGGCTTTGACAGGTATGGCTTCGCTTTGGTGAATTAAAGCGGCCGGCGCCAGGGAAAGAAAACGTTTGAAAACATTCACTCCGCAGCACAGCCTGCAGGTGTCACCATTTCCATCAAGTACACACCGCTTTGGGGCTCTGAATTTACTAAGTACTTCCCAACACAATTCCATGTGCGGTCTTGCACAACTCTTGGTGGACAATGTCAAAGTAGAAGCGCAACAGAGATCTAACTCAAGCTGCATCCTGCAGCGAGGAGCTGCTAAATTGGTAGCCCCAGAGAGCTGACTGCCTGCTGCCACAGCAGGTCCACACGATCAACATCCTTCCAAGGTTCTGAGTGAAGACAACACCACCAACCGCTGAGATTCACTAGAAACAGCAGCCAGGAATGATGTCCTCAATGCCACGCAGTCGCAACTGGTTTTCAGTCTGAAGCAGCTGCAGCCGTTGTTGCTCAACCAGTGAGTGCCTGAGCAGCAACAGTAGCAACGGCAACTTTGACCCACACGGGACTCCGAAGAATCTTTCTGATAGCCGCGGTCAGAGCTCTCATGCTAGGGCAGCGACATGGTCTTGAGCCGTTCCATCTCAGAGCCTTGCGCTGTCCTTTCGTCCTGCAGCACTACTGAGCACTAGCATGCTTTGCCCACTCGCAGGCAAGTTGACAGGATGGGTGGCCTGCAGCTGGCCACGAAGTAGCTGCAGTTCTGCTCGTGCCTGACACCAAAGCTCTCACCCCATTAATTAAAAATCCTAATCAGGCTCCTTGCTCCAGCACTTCCGCATGTCTTACGCACCTCAGCTGCTTGGTCATGAAGCGCTCGGATCTCCTCAGACCGCCTGACAAAGACAGTAACATTGTATGATTGCTCCATGGACCTAGCCCCACCGCTGGCCTTTCAACCTCATGCGCCATCAGGCCCATGCTTTGCAGCTCACTCTCAAGCTGCTCCCTCTCCTGCAACCAAAAAGAGCCGAGCTCCATGAAGATTTCCAATCTTTTGCAAAGTGAACAGAAGTGCCAGCCTCCTGAAAGCTCTTGCGATCTGTCTCCAATTTCATGGCCTAGAGGCACAAAGCCAGAAAAAGCCCCCCAGGTTGAAAAATTCTGCCGATGAAGACCGCCTCTTGTGCATGAAGCCGTCGCCTCTCTTCGAACACCTCCAGGTCGTTCATGAGGCAGCGGCCTTGACAGCAAAAACACAGCAGTCTCAGCAGGTCCAATGGCAACAAGCTCCATCACCTTGATCAGTTGCGGTAAGCAAAAAAAAGGTTGCCAGTCCATTTTGACGCCTCTGGCTCTGTTGCAGGTCTGACCTACTCTGACCTACCGGCACACGTGTAGCCTCGCAGGCTTCACGATGCTGCCACTCGCTGCCGAGGCATCATCCAGCTCGGGACATTGACTACAGCATGCCCGGCATGCGCATTGAAAGAGATGGCAATGCCTGGTTGGGCCCGTCCAGCTTGTGGGTTTTTCACAGAACTCCAGGCAGGATGACAATGATCCTTCGGTTCCAAACGCTCAGCCGAAGGTTCGCCAAAACGATTCTCCAAGGTGTACTGCGTCAGTCTATGACCTGCACCCACGAGCGAAGGGTGATTTGATGATCTTCAGCTCGCCAGATTTCCGACCATGACGTCCTGCTCTTGCAAGTATGCCTATAACGGGAAGAACCATACGGTCAATGCGAAACGCTGCAAGTGGAGTAAGTACAGTCAGCAAAGTGCTGGCGGTCCTGAACAGATCAGCTTCTGTCCTTGCGGCGTAAACGCCATAAATGCCCAAGGCCTGTCACCCAGACGTCGCCTCCTTGTTTACTTCCAGCTGATGCGTTAGCGGTTAGCGATTTGGTTAAGGTCTTAAAGCTCGCCAAGATGCCTTCTCCAAAGGCAAGATTCGAAATATTCGTATGAAAGATCACCTAGCCGGCAAGCTGCTTGAGAAGGCATGTTGGCATGATGACAAGCCATCACTGAGGGCCTTTGCAACCACGTGTGGCCGCGGCGGCTTTGGATCCAGAATGCAGAGACCAGCGGGCATCGAAGACCAAATCAGCCCATCACTATCGATTTTGAAGCCATCTGACACCCCTTTGCCAGGCATCTGGCCAAGGTAATGCACTGGGACTGAGTCAAGCGCAGCCGACCCTGAGAACACATCCGCAGTAGCGCCCTCTGTGCCCTCTCTTAGGATCATGACCGGCTTGAGTGGGAGGGTCTCGGTCACTGCAAAAGCTGTCCAGCTGGCAACCTTCTTGTGGCCTTGGATGTTAAAATCTGAACATGTCCGCCCGAATATTATCCTGACGAACGCAACTTGAGGATTCCATATGAGCTTTGCAACCAGTCTCTGTTTGCAACCCATAGAAGCTCACCATCAGGCGAGAAAGCGAGCCCATTTGGACGATCTAAGATGTTCGTCACCAGCTGGATTTCCTGGCGTTGGCTTTCAGGAGCATAGACAGAAACAAAAGCATGTTCGCAGCTTGGATTGCACCGATTAAACGAAAAAGCTCAGATGTCAGTAGACAGTGGATATCTTCACAAACTGATGCTTGCAGAGAGCCCTCTCCCAAGCTTGCAGGCTAAGAGTCTCCATCTTTCCAGCGATACACGCCTTTATAGTTCACGCCTTGTGCAGCGCAGTCATCCAGGTACGGCAGGTCACACGGATTGTGATCGCTCGGATCGACCGTTTGTTCTTCTGGCAGTAGCGGGCCAAACGATGCTGCAGATGGTTTAAGTAGAAAACCATAAATCGGGTCGGTGAACCATACCTGAAAGCAGAATGGAACATTTACAGAGCAAGGACAAGCTGTCCCTCAATATTTCCCTGAATTTCCTCCATGCAGGTGTGCTAAGCTCGGACTGGGGGCACTGCCATCTGGCCCCACAATGACATCGTTTGGTGAATTGAGTCTAGCCCCTTGAAAAGCATCCGCCACCAGCGCGAAGTCAGACTCGCAGAATCTGGAGCCAGGCACGATTTTGGAGACTTCTACTTTGACTACACGTCGCATGGCGTGCTGACAGATGAACAGGGTATCCCCACGCAAGGCCATGCCATTGCTGCCAGGTTCAAAAACCAACTCATAATCCGGAACGTTATGGCCGTCGTAGCCGCCGGACTGCTCCATCCAAACACTGACACCCTGCGGAGTCCAACGGTAGACCCGTGCATCAATGGTGTCAGAGAATAGCAGTTCTCCCTGAGGCAGCCATGTTGGCCCTTCCGTCCAACGGAAGCCGGATGCGATGATGTCAATGGAGCGGCTGTGCAGCACCTGGTCGATGTCGCCCTCGTAGGTTACCTTGTTGAGTAGTATGCTATAGTAGCAGCGGGCCCGAGAAAATCCTCTTTCGCAGCTTTAATTTGCCCCGGCCTTCTGCGGATCGAAAGCACCCCATCTCTCTCCGTTACCAAGAAGCGTGCCGCGGTTGTCCGGCCCGAAGACCGTTGAAGACCCTAGACCCATTGCACAATGCACGCGCAATGTGCGTCAGAACTGGCTTCCTTGCAGTGCGGCTACAACTGGCTGCTGCAGCACTGAGATCAACCTTGTGCTTGCAGTTGAGGAACTGCCTTTCTTACATCCATCACTAGAATAAATGATTCCGAGGCTGCGACGCTCATTGGCCACAGTGGTCTCCGTCTCGCGAATCCGGCGGGCTGCATTCTGGCGTGCCACCTGCTGCAAAGCAGGGTGAAATCGCAAGAGGCACAGAAGCCGATTGACTAGCCTCAATCTGCTGGTGCAAAGACTTCAGTCTCTTCGTCTCCGCCTTCAGACGATGCTCCTGACACCACGCTTTCGAAGGAGCTGAGAGGCAGCAAAAAATTGGCCCTTGCCGCAGCTGCCGTCCTGTACATCCAGCTCCTCTTTTCGAGCGTTGAGCCTGGGTGAAACAGGACCAACAGCACTGCACCTCGACCCTGCACCACCTGAAAATCACGTTGCAGCCGGAGAGTGTTTGCATGCAGTGTTGCGAATGGCTTTGAAGACCTGGTTGAGGAGCCAACTCGCTTTCCAAGCGCACCTGCTGCTCCTGGAGGCTCCTCCTCTCCTCCTCCACCTCTGTCAGCACATCAAAGGCTAGAAGGGACACATGCTTGACCCATGCGTGTTGTATATGCTGGAGGAGCCTGAGCCCAGGCATGCTTCATGGCCTCCTTGTTGTTACGATCAGCCTGGCAACCAAAGTATACGGCACGCAGTTCCATGCAAGGCTTGCAGGCAGGTGCATCTTGCAGCACTAACAGATCTCTGCTTCATGCGACTTAGGTCCCGGCTTCCCGCACACTTTGCTGCAAGTCAAGCAGACGTTGATGTTCAGCCTGCACGCTTTATCAAAGCAGGCCTGTTCCAGCAATGACGCAGTCGTGCTTAGACCTGCAACCGCTCACGGTCCGCAGCCATGGCAGTGACATCATCTTCCTGCAGGGCAAAGGCCCTACTGGTAGGTAGTCTTCCACTTCACTGAGACAAGATCACCACACCGACAAATGCAGTGTGGCAAAATACACAAAGCCTGAGAACATCTCAGGTTGGTCACCATGTCGGACCTTGGCACCACTTGACTTCTCTGCTCCCGCTTCGCAAGTTTTGCGAGCTTCGCGAACGGTAGCATGAGGCCATGCGGGCAGGAGGCCGTTCTACAATTCTACAGCTTGGCTGTCTGGATTCCTGATCAGGCCGCTGCAACCGCCTGCGTTGCTCTTCTACTTCCTTGCTTTGGCGAGAGAGCTGCGCCTGGCGAATTCATCTGCACTTAGCCACAGCTAGCAAGTGCTGGGCACACAAGTGCGCATTCCTGCAATTCAAAGGCACGCTCAAGACTCTCTAGCACGCAGGTTCACCGTGCACCACATTGCGCTGATCTTGAGGGCTTATAAAGCATTAGTGACGCTGCCCACACTCTCCGCCTCGAGTTCTCGCGCGTTCTTTTCTCTTGCTTCCAGCTGCCTCTCGCGAACTGACCTGGCATAAGCTTCCGAGTACTTGGGATGATGGGAATGCAAGTTTCCATGGTTCCGGACAAACCTACTTTTACAGCGTTTGGCCTGGACGTTATGGCACAGAATCAAAGCATACCGAAGCCGAAGCCTGAAAACTATAACAACCGATGTATGCCAGTTATGTTCCATGCCCCTTGTCTCGTGAAGGATTCAGCCGTTCGCGAACTATCTGCCACAATTCGGCTCATTTGGGGTGCGAAACTGAGGCATGTCCAACATCGTCCAAAAACCTTCGAGGCAATGACAAGGGTGCCGGCAGCGCAGAAACCGCAAAGAAACCTACAACGCCCAAACTTCAAACCCCTAAAGCATGGACGCCCTGAAACCCCTGAAGCCTGAAACCCCTAACCCTAAAACCTTCGCACTTTAAGCATAACCTCCCCACTCTCTAAACCCCAGAATGCCGAAATCCAAACACCCAAACCCTCAGCCCTGGAACCCTAGCATGGTAGTTTCCATTTTCTTCTCCTTTTTCATGATATAACCCCTATAAACCCTATGTGGCATGGACCTTTAGGAATTATTTGGGACGGGCTTTTGTGCTAGACCTCAGGGATAAGGATATGATATGATATGACAGTCGGAGGAAAGAAAGGCAAAGAAAGAGGAAGTGGTAGAGGAAGTTTCAAGGGCGGATTCAAGTAGAGAAAAAGAATATGGTGAAGCACGAATTGTTGGTCCTGGTCACTATTGTCAGAACCCTGGTCACTATGAAGCAAACTGCAGACAGAAGCAACGTGACATGCAGAGTGGTAGTGCCACACAAGCTCAGCAAAGCGCTGCACTTTCTACTGACTTTAGTGTTTATTCAGCAGCACCCTCGTCCTCGAACTACCTCTATTACCTCTCAAAAACTTCCTTTCAAGCCGACTGCAACTATCAGGCAAGTTTCCACGTTCCACATTGGAGAAGATCCTGAATCCTGAAAACTTTCCTGAGCGTTCGCCCTGGATAAAGATGAAGAAGAAATTGAAGCCAAGTACTTTGGTGCATTCCCCACAGTTGAAGAAAACAATTTCGCAGAAGATGAAGCAGATGAAGAAAAAGATGAGGATTGTTTAAGATATCAGTAGCATCGAGGCAACAATGATGATCTTAAATACATGTCCGCGCTAAAGCAGCCAATGTGCGCGTTGATGATCAGTCTGGAAATTTCGAAGGGAGCACAGTGCATCGGCAATACTTTGAGATTAAGGGGGCCTGGAACTGGGAATCTCTGAAGTTCGTGAGATTAACGAGATTAGAGATTAACATTTAATTTCACTAATCACACTAATTATAGAGTACCCATTCATTAATGAAATTAACCTCCAATCTCTCTAACCTCATTCATTTTGGGGTACTCTAAAATTAGTGAGATTAATGAAATTTGATTTAGTATATCTGATCTCATTAATCTCACTCATTAAGTCCCCTGGCTCCCCCAATCTCACTAATCTCACAAATCTCACTCATTTTAGAGCACCCAAAAATTAAAGCGATTTGCGAGATTAGTGAGATGGGGGGGCCTGGAATCTCAAAAATCAATGAAATTCGTGAGATTAGTCATCATACTTGGACGACACCAGCCCTGTGAACGGACATGGGCCGAGTGCGGGCACACCCGCACCAACCTGACAAAGTTGAAAAGAGGGGCTACTGACCAGAGACATACCTCTTGGCCAGAATCTCTTTTCGCACGCCTTCGTGCCATGCTCTTATCATGTCATCCGCAGGGCTTCCTGAGGGCCATGCCATCCCTTGCTGGATTGCAGTCATCTGCGGGATGGAGTGGCCTAACACAGCAACACGTTTGCCCCGTAGGCCACCACACTTCCACAATATGTGTTGCAATGTGCCCACTGCTACATTTTCCTGGCACAAGGGGCAAAGTGCAACCTCCCTAGCCCTAGCCTTCATCCTGTCCAGAGCAGCTGGACTGACCGTGCTCCCAGTGAGCACCATGAATGACACACGCCTGGCAGCGGCCCAAGTCCTGGCTCGGGCACAGAGAGCCGCGTCGCACAGACAATCACGGCACTCCCTGGAATCCCTTCAAAATTTAAGACGCCGCTTGTTGTAATGGAAATGCCGGAAGGGCTCTCGCCACGAGTGCTCGACCTGCTCCTTTATTTTCCAGCGTTGATCATGCAACAAAGAAAAGGTGAATCCCAACCCTACATGACCCCAACGCCACTCATCTTGCCAGGCCCACCCGTAGTAGGACACGCACTTTCTGGCCACTTCCGACCAACCTCTTGTCGACCAAAGTCGCCGGTGTTCCCTGAGGCCTCCTAACGGCCTGCCTGTAAAGGGCCTGCATGTTTGACAAGCGCAACACGCGCCCTCCTGGAGGGCGTAAGACACGGCCGCTTGTACCTTCCTAACCTCTTAAGCATTCGGGCGCCTGAAAACCCACCCCCATGCGGCCTGGGCACTAATAACCGCCGTCTTAATTCCCCAGGGAGCAGGCAGGAAGCGGCATCTACGGATCGTGGTTCTGGCACCTTCTACGCGCTCCTCCTCATCCTTTGCGCTACGCCTCTTCTGCATTGCCTGCAGTTGCGTTCCCAAGATTTTGGGGGGCAGGGGTGACCTGGTCAGGCAGGACCCCTAAACCCAAGAAATCCATCCTACCGTTACGGCGCCTGTGGAAATGCGCAGTCTTAGAAACATTCTCTTGCAGCTAGAAGCTGCGACCAGCGGGCCCACGCAGCCTTCACCTTTATGGCCTCACGAGCAGTGCTTGCAGCAAAAGACGTGTCACCCACGAATGTCCGGACAAGGACGTTCGGAAACCTATGCCTGATGTCCCGCGCGGGGGCCGACACCACAAGAATCATGCCGCAGAGTTGACCAAGTGTCCCCCTGTGGCATGGGGGCTGCGACGTGTTGGAAAGTCGGGTTTACGTGCCCAGCGTAGGTCACTAGCCGACACTGCTCGCACCACACGCTAGCCATCGTATTGGCCACCCCACACGGCATGCCCGTGTGTTTGAAACACGCTGCAACTAACTTGGGATGAAGGGCGTCGAACGCAACGCTGAAATCCAGAGAGACGAGAAACTTCTCATCAATGCACGCAGCATCCACAGCGACCAGTGCGTCGCTCAGACACTTGCCCTTCTTACCCCCCCTAGCGTCAGGTAGCCACCAGCTCTCAACCCATTCCTGGGACTGTTCGATTTGGAGCACGGGCGCACCCCACGCCCTGCACCACGAGCTAACCTGCCTTTCAATCCTTCCTTAGGCAGGTGGATCTGCCTAGATTTCCTCCAAGCCTTTGAAGATTCGCCAACCCTAAGGCAAACGTCGTAAAATTCGGTGACAAAGCGTAAAACCTCTTTGGGCAACTCTGCCACCTCATTTCCTGACCAGTGGTCAGCCCTTCTGCCTTGCCTCTTGATGCGGGTACCTGGGATCTGAAGGCCCTTAGACCCACCTCCCAATTTACCTCCCTATCCCACACGCGGCGCCAACGCCGCGTCAAGAGTTCCAGAGCACTCGCTGGATCTTGTGAGCTTTCACCTGGCAATGAAAGACTCGTGAGGCGAAAAGGCGGGGTACAAGGAGGGGTCCTAAGCCACCTAAAACACTCTTTAACCGAACCTGTAAGTTTAGTTTGCCATTTTCTAACTTTAAGCTTGTCCTGCTCTTGGCGCTGGGCTGCCAGCATGTACTGCGCAGCTTGCAACCTCACAGTGGTATTGCCAGCCGGCAGCTCACTGTTGCGGGCGACCAGCTCGCGCAACTTTGCGCATGACTCCTCATGTTCATGGCCCAAGCGCACTGAACGCAGCATCTCGCTCAAACGAAAAAAACTTTTGTAAAGACCTCTCCCGAAACGGAGCCTTTCGTGCGCCGTACAAAACTGGACTAGCAAAAAAATCTTAGCCTCATTTTTTCTGCAGTGACTTTTGCGCTTGCGAGAGGCAAGGGAGTCATCCGATTCTTCTTCACTGGGATGCACAAGGAGTACCTGACACAAGGCAGACCTCATGGAAGCGTCCCAAAGGGTATCCCGCGCGGACTGGTCAGCTTGCCAAGGCACGTGCAGGAACTGACCCACTCTGTCGTGACAGGGCCTGCCACGTCTCCAAAGAAACTTGCTCAGGGCGGGACAGGTCCATAGACTTGGCTAAGGCATGCACCTGGCCAGCTTGAGTGCCTTCCGGCAACCTGACGTTCACCTGAAAAACCTTGCGACCGGATATCACACTGGGCGCAGACTTGCATTGGCCCTCGAGACGGACAGCGTTGGCCACTCCGTAGTCAGTACATCTATTACCAGCAAACCTAATGGGAAGAAGGTCCCCTTGCTCATCAATAACAGCAACTAAACCATCACACTACGCTGCAAAACATCACAAAACGGGTTCTGTGAAAGCGTGGCATTATGGTCACCCATGAGCAACCACTTGCAGGCATCACCCTGGGCAGCAATCCACGCAAGAACCTGCTGCTCTACATCATGGTTTCCCCACTGGCCGAGGAATACAGAGCAAGGAAATAAATCCCTTCGACCTTCACTGCCAAGACCTGAGCTTCCCTGTGACGCCAAGACTCAGATCTCACGAGCATCCCGACACTCCTATAACCCCTTTTGTCGTTGGAGTAACTTTCAAGGCACCAAAACCGAAACCCTTTGCTGAAGGCAGTCCTCCTGTAAGCTTCCTCCTCTTCCCTGTCAAGAAAACAAGTCTCCTGGAGCAGGGTCACCTTGTACTGAGGCATCAACTCGCGCAGGACGCTCCAGGCACCTTTTACACCTCCGGCGTTCACACTAGCACCCGGGCCTTCGGAAGGGTCTTGCTTTGCTGACACGTGAGTCCCTTGTGACGGACTACACTGCCACCCCCATATCGCCCAACTTTCGCGAGGCAGTTCACGCACCAGTACTCGTTAGTATGGCGGAACTCCTCAGCCCTCGCGCTGGCTGCCGGCATAGCAACAGCCTTGTGAGTTTTGTACTTTTCCTGACCT